GAGAGCTTGTATCCATCCTTGTTTTAGGACTGCTTCACCCACTGTGTTATCACCCACTAAGACTTGGAGGTGACGTAAAAACTGTGACGGCGACCGATCACCTAGTGTTTCACCTTGAAAAAGTCTTTGGATTCTTTGACTATCTGATAATGATAAACGGTTCATTATCTCTTGTCTTAAGATGGTGTATGGTTGTGGTGATGGTGGACTTAAAATCAAGTCACGGACTTCTTTGGCGACTGAAGGAGGAAGGATAGAACACAAGTCTCTATAGCGAATCCCTTCAGATTTGATATTGTGTCTCGTGAAATAATGCTCTAGTTGAGCAAACCACAACTCAGGATCACTACGATCAAATTCTGGAAGTCGGGATTTCGTAGTCATAGTAGTGTCTATCTCCACTGGTGACAAATCCTCCAGATTATGGGTTTCTATTGAGTCTGACATGAGGTATGTGACAAATATATCAATAAAGTTAGCACAAAAAGTGGTTACTATAACACGAATAACTTAAGATAATACGGAATAAACTAGTTATATACTCAAATTAGTTTACGGATAATCAGGTCTACTTTTAAGATTAAGTAAAAAAAATATTAATAACAGAAATGAGGTTAAATTTGTGTTCAAAAAGGGCTCACCAGTTTCGTGCCTTAAGGTAACCCTCGTGCTATTGATAGAAGAAACCAGAGAAGTAGTGAATAGGTCTTTATTTCGATCTTCGCGCAGTCGCAGTGGAGCGTGGGATTATCTATTCAGACAAACAAAGGCTCTCAACATTCAAGATAATAGGGAATATAACGCTTATGAAAAATAAGGAAGTGAATGAATACTTGAACAATACTGTTTTGGCATAAGCTTGGTTGTTTGGGGTCAACTCTTAACCAACCAACCTGAGCTGTTACAGACTCATATCCAGAAAATAACTATAGCAATACGATGAGCTCAGTTGTTTCGATAGTTGAGATCATGATTCAATTGAAGCTAGACCACAATAGAACAATGGGACTCCTCAGCATTGCACATCTACAAAACCCCTTCTGATACTAATCAACTTATGCTCACTAGTGACTGGCTTCAAGAGGTATTTCCTGGAGTTCTAGTGAGAAGCACTGACCAGTGGAGTTCAGCCGGGTCTGTAGTGAGATAGTACCTCACTGATGACAATGGTGGGTGTGTCGCTCATCTTGGTGGGTTAGTTGAAGCTAGACATTAACACCATGCCGGCCCAGTGATCTAATGGTTTAGCGCATGGAGCGAGACTGATAGGTCCCAGGTCCGAATCCCGCGAGGCGAGGTCGCGGATGCGCACTGCTGAGGAGTCCTTAAATAGGACGAAACGACCGTCCAGTGCTTCCAGGTTTTCCATGGTGGTCTAGCTTCGATTGATTCATGATCTTAACTATTGAAGTTACTACAATCTCAACGTAACCCCTTCTGATACGAACCCAGTTGTGCCAGATGATACCCAGAATCATTGGGAGACAGGAATTTATATTGAACCAACTTATCTGATTTCTCATGACAATGTACCAGATATGGGTTCTCATGATAATGCACATAGGTTTGGTGAAATTTCTTATAAAAATGAGAAAGATATATCGGCTGAACCAAGTTATGACCGAAAATCTAAACCAATTTTGCTAGATGTTGATTTTTCTAGCGATCTAGTATCCACTAACGAGATCGGTAATTAATTTAAAGAAAGCGTTTCAGAAGAATCAAATCCTGGTTACCCCAAATCAAATGACTATCTAGCCATTTCTACTGGCTTCTCCATGCAATGCGAGAAACGAGAATTAAATAAAGTCATATTAATTGCAACTTGAAGATGTGAGGACTCGACATTATTTCGTGGAGGAGGATAATGTCGGGAAATTTAAAGTTGCCCATAATTTTGAAAATTCTGATCTTCGAAAAAGGGGAGGCGTCATATCTTAGCGAAGATTAAATTACGAGTAACTTCTGAAATCTATTAATGGACTAATATTCTCTATATATTCTTATGGTATAATTATTCGGGGTTTAGATTGTGTATATTTATATTCTTATTATGAGCTCCATTTTGACCTATAGACTATTATGATAAGATTTACTGTTCATAAGTTATGTTCGGTTTATTAGTTACAGTCTCCCACGTTCACAGCCACATTTTGGCTTTATTGTGTATAAATGTTATCCCCTATTTTACGGTGCGTTGCGGTCTGTTTGGTCGATATATAAACCCAGAATGTCTGAAATAAATGACCCGCATAGTGGAGGCTGTTATTGGCATTCTGGACTCAAGTGGACGGACTGGACGAGCAACGGACCAATAGGACGCTAGGCAGATCAGACCGAACGAACGTCATTGTTTTAGTACAGTACAAGGGCGAATAAGTCGTATTTTGATTTGCGAATAAATTACGGGACAACTAGCGGGCCATAAAGACACAACAGAATGCTCCTGCTTAAACCGTATCTTAATAAAAGAGAGACAGACTAAATAGTCACACCCTAACTATCCATCCATAAATGACTCAACTTCAATATCGACGAACATTGTCTGCTCTCATTCTCGTCCTTTCTTTTTTTACCCTGCTTCTCAGCCCCCTCGAGATATGTCACCGAAAACACATATGAAACGGGTGACTTCGTCCTGCGCCACCGATAATGTCTCAGGTGTTCCAGAGGAATATAAGGTTGTGGTCCGAAGAAGCTCTCGACTTTACGTGAATTTATTCTCGACCATCGGTTGCACGTCGCAACGCAATACCTATAAAGGGCGCCAAATGTCACATTTACTATATGAGTCTTACTAATGTTGTTTAAGTTCGTGTGTGAGAAGAGTTATTTCCCATAATTCTATGAACAATGTAACCTATAAAACATCAACCACAGTGAAGACTGTACCCTCCATAACAATTTGATCTTGCCTGTAAACTAGCAGGTCTCATACAACAGACTGTTATTTGGGAATAAGTTATTATTATCTAATTTGTTGAGGTATGTGCGTTTCCTGGCGATAATAACCACCATGGATTTGTTTCCACACAGCAATTATTAAAAAACTGCGCGATGCACTGTGATCTTCGTGGTATGCAAACATGTCAAGTACCACAAAGAGCGAAGTTCTGCTCGAGGAGGCACTTAGACCAAACTGGGTAAAGTGAAGTTTGAATACGAAACCTAATAGTTTAAATTTAAGTGTCCTAATCACTAAGCTATTGCTTTTCAGGATACATTGTTATCTTACTTGGTATTCGTTGGTAGGTGTTTCCGGTAACACGAATCTAAGGCCTATCACATTTATCACAAGAGCTATCAATTTATAACGGTTACATACTACGAAGCAAGCACTCAGTTTTGACTAGGATTTTTCTGTTTTTCGCTTAGGAATCTTTCAGTCTCCGTAAATTAATATGCAACCGAATATCCACCGACTCGATGTTTTCATCTATCACTTGTTTAATATTAGTGAAAACCATATAAGTTCAAAGAATAAACTTACTCATGAGAATGAACATTTGAGTTTGTTTGCTCTGAGCTATTTTCCAAACTATCATTTAATCCATGAATACAACCTTTATCTTGACGATAAGATAGCCAACGTTGAGGGTTAGATGACGCAAATAATTCTCTGTTAATTGTTGAGTTGCTTTTAGGAACTAATTTTCCACGGATAATAGGTGTTGCAGGGGCGAATACATCGTTATTGTTATCATCCTTTCCATCTCCAAAACAGACTGGATGACGCTACTGGAAGTCTTAAAGCAAACCTTCATCATGTGGATAATGATTGTTTGCATCAAATGACATTCTAGGATCAATTAGCTCGTAGTGCCCATCGGTCAATTCACTTAAAAATACACCTAAACACCTTTCGGAGGGTTTTTAATCGCTTCACAACAAAGCACAAAAATGTAGTGCACCAACAATATATAGTATCGTTAGTTTGGTCATTCTTTCCACGTGTTGGTTACCAGTGTATTTATGTCAAGATTTTGTGGGCAGAAATAGTGAACTGTGTTTCCTTGGGATTAGTGTCTGGGTATTAAGAGAGTGGTCGTAGTTACCAATAAAAGTAAGGTCATCAAGGTATGTGGCATAAATAGTTGCCTACACCCAATAGTTTACTGACCTAAGCAGGTTGTAACGCGCATCAAAGTATCTTAGATCTACGTATGCATTACCATACGTCTTGTAACTTAGCGCTAATTGTAGTATGAGAACCTGGAAATTAGTTGTCACCTTAAATAGTTACATGAATTTCTGTTCCTCAAGAATGAGTACTGATCACCAAAAGATATATCGAAAATGCATTTTGCAGCGCTACGGTGGTGTATAAACAGATCAACAGAAAGAACTGTTGAGTTTTCAAATGGTAAATAAACCGTATTCCATAGGCTGACTATGCAGTAGTAGCATACAACAAAGCTGAAGCAGACCCGCACTCTCGTTATATTAACTTAACCATTGACAGTACAGATTGTTTTCCCTGCGGTACAAAAGTAAGCTTAACATTTAGCCAGTTTTCTCTGGATGAACTGAACAGTTGCTGATGAATAAATTATCCGTTTCTAGAGTGAATCATTTTGCTTGTCAAAACGAGCAATCTATTTTATACGAAATTTTTTGTTCTTAAATGCAACTTTATATTTAATATTATGGTTGTTTCTTATGCTTTTTCGTATTAAAGGAACAGTACTTTGTGAAAGAAAACTCCCAGTATTTTAGCATCGCACAAGTAATAATTGATGACTCGTAACAGTATATTGCATGAAGTGATGCTTTTTTTGTTTGACCTTGTTTGGCGTGTGAGAACACATTTGATATTTCATTCGTATGAAGCATTTTTCCTCCTAAGAATTAATCGGAATTGACAAAAAAACATGTAAGATATATATGTATGAATATATAAAGCATCAGATTGCGAAATGTACATAGAAAACATAAGCTTTAAGAAAAATATATTGTACACATAGTTATCTTTTTACTCTTGTTTATTATCAGCTAAATATTTATGAGGACTTATTTAAAAAAGATTGAACGTATTCAGTTAATTGAATACATTTTATAAATTTAGAATTGTTTGACGTGGATAGTACAAGAGATGGTGTAGATTTTTGAAGTGGCAACTCAAGCGGGTTAAAATATTTTAGCTCGTCGTCATTTCCAGGCAACGCTTTGTAGATATTAGTGAAGTAGTGTGGTAATTGTTTTGTTGTTAATTCAGATGTTGGTTTAGTTTCTGTTTTACCGGGCGAGTGTTTCTTGCCACCAGGCTTTTCTAAAGGTGAATCTAAGCTCTGAATGCTTGATGCCGATATTCTGCGTTTGTTTGAAAATTTCAGTTCAGACACATAACCAACAAGTTTATTGGTAGTAGAATTGGCATCACTAATTGGGATTATGTTGTCTGTCGTTAAAGACTTCTGGCCATCTCCGTCTACTTGATTAACTGCTCTTAACCAACGCATTGGACTTACAAACGTCAAACGCTTCAGAAGTTGTACAATGGGACTGACAACAACAGATTTGTCTAATAAGTCTCTTTCACCGGACATTTCCCTATAGAGAAAAGAGAAAACACATTCTGTTAAACCTGGTGAATTTCAACATCCATATTACAGGCTATTTTCATTCGCATGAAAGCATAGGTATTATCTCGTTCTTTTAGTGAACAGTGTTGTCCATCTAAGTCTTGTTCAACAAATACTAAACAATCCCAGTATGACTCAATCTGCTGATAATCACTGGATGGCTGGTCGCAAAACGCCAGCCAGTAAGTTAATGACATGTCATATTTGTAAACGGTCACTACCTAATAGATAATTAATGAAATTTTTCCAGGCACTTAGACCAAACTGGGTAAAGTGAAGTTTGAATACGAAACCTAATAGTTTAAATTTAAGTGTCCTAATCACTAAGCTATTGCTCTTCAGGATACATTGTTATCTTACTTGGTATTCGTTGGTAGGTGTTTCCGGTAACACGAATCTAAGGCCTATCACATTTATCACAAGAGCTATCAATTTATAACGGTTACATACTACGAAGCAAGCACTCAGTTTTGACTAGGATTTTTCTGTTTTTCGCTTAGGAATCTTTCAGTCTCCGTAAATTAATATGCAACCGAATATCCACCGACTCGATGTTTTCATCTATCACTTGTTTAATATTAGTGAAAACCATATAAGTTCAAAGAATAAACTTACTCATGAGAATGAACATTTGAGTTTGTTTGCTCTGAGCTATTTTCCAAACTATCATTTAATCCATGAATACAACCTTTATCTTGACGATAAGATAGCCAACGTTGAGGGTTAGATGACGCAAATAATTCTCTGTTAATTGTTGAGTTGCTTTTAGGAACTAATTTTCCACGGATAATAGGTGTTGCAGGAGCGAATACATCGTTATTGTTATCATTGAAAAGTGAAAATGTTGAAGAGAGCGTACAGCCGGTCTGACTGACATCTTGCAAAACATTTGCTAGAGTACTACCTTCAATATTACTGTTGTCCAAGCAATCCCCATTACTGGTAGTTTCTTTTAATGGATGATCAATGTTCAGTGATGAACAATTAGACAGATAATCTTCTAAAGCTAGCAAACCATCTTCAGAGCTTAAGTCAATGTAATCATCCAAAAATTCCCAATATTCATACCAACTTGTCCCGAAAACACGTGATAAATACCTGGAGTAAAAAGTGTATTTACTAAGAATTTTTGGATACATAGGATATGTACATCAAAAAACACGTCTATTTAATAGGCTTTAAATTGCACTTTTCACGTGTTGGCTGATTCCACTACTCGACTTCACAAAGTTAAGCATGTCGAGAGTCGAATGCTTTTCAAAGTACTCCTATTGAGAATCGTATGTGTCGAGTTGTTTGGTGGTTTAAAGTATACGAGGTCACTACAGTCGTCTATAATTCCTAAAATAAACCATTGCCAGAACTAGAAGTCAGATTAATATCCATTCAGACGTATAAACAAAGTTGGTTTCTTTTATAAGGCGTTCTATGAGTTCTCATAAACAAACCAACTTACCGTCCTTGGCGTTCATATCCTTTTTCCGAATCAATTAGACGAAGATGTGAAAAAGATTTGTAGTCAACAGCATTTGGTGCATTGTATTGAAGCCATTTTTTTCGAAATTCAACAGCCTATAACAACATGAAAATTGGGACGGATTAGGCATCATATATAGTTTCCTATTTTGGGAAGTTTTACAAGTTGATGTTAAACATTTAACAAATAATTAGATGAAATTCGACTCGTATAGACTAAATCACTTTTTTAGGTCGCATTACTTCCATCCAAAAGACTAGGTTGAATGACATGTAACAAAGTGATTAGTGCCGGCCCTTATGCTTGAATTCGAGTCACATAAATCCATTCACAACTAGAAGTATCAGTTAAGGGCTCTGACATCAGTTCGGTTAAAATTGGATCTGTGGTTAAAAAGTTGGTAATCTGACTGCAGAACTGGGTTGACCAGGTTTGGATCTGATGGGAAGTATTAGTTTCTTCAGGTTGGCAGATACACCCTACCGATGAAAACCAAGCACTTGTTCTAGGTCCACGGATTGTTGCTGACTGTCGTTAGCTATTTAAAACAAAACGAATTACAGCACTACGCGGATTTAACATAATCGATGAAATATGACACCGTTATATTGTTCTATTTGTGTGTTTTGATTAGTTGGGGTAAAAAACGCATGAGAATCAAATGAATGTTTGTAAATCGAGAAGCATTTTCATGAATTAGATTAAATCTCAAATAATTCTTACGACTAAGAAATATCAACTAATAGAATATGAATAAGGGCTCTCTACATTGCAGTCCACAGGTTTGAATAGTCAACTTTTTACCCCATTTTATTAAATTTGGTGTACAGTAATTGGAACTTTCAAATACTTTAAACTGTACTGAGTTATACTCTATTTTCTTTTGAGCACACAGTTATCTCTATCTACAATTAAGTTTTAGGAACCAAGGTGAACATCAATGAGTCTGAACAAACATATTGTGAATAGTTTCTAATAAAAAATTGGGTAGTTGCTTTTAGATGAACTAAAAAGATTTTATCAGATAAGTGGGAAACTTACTCCTACAGTACCAGAGAACTGGTCACCCAAGTCACCCTCTGAAGCCTAAAAATAAATAAGAATGGTAAAAACAGGTTTATCACTCCACACCCTACCTACATTCCCCAGGATCGCAACTGTAATTACTCCCAGAAAGAAAACTTTTCACACCCTTTAGTACCGACCCATGACATAACAACGGCTCCCATGTATACCAACAGTCGCAACTCCTCCCAGTTTCGCGCAGCAGACCCCTCTCACGCTAACGTAAATAGCCATAACAGAGGCTACGAGTCTAACCATCAAGACTATTTTGCAAATAACCGTACACTTCACAGTAGGCCTGTACAAGATTTTTTTGGAATAAGACCCCTAGTGACACCTCTGTTGAAGCACATAGTCCAGGTTATTTCAAACCACATGCAAACCATAAATTTATTTCCTCTGTACAGTTTCCATCACAGAGTACTCCCACCGTTTCCTCCTGGGTAAACTCTCCAATCAACTTCACTAGCTCATTTGGTACATCTCCTACTAAGTCTAGCTATCGAAATACCAAGCTAATGAAGAACATCCAATCCCTCACTTCAAACTCATTTCACAGCCGCGAGGGTTACGACGACTTCATCCGAGATACCCTCACCCATTTTAACTTAGTAGGCCACTTGCTTCATATGTGTCTTATCAACGCTCGATCGATCTGTAACAAAAAGACGGATTTAGCCCTGTTTGTATCCATATATCAACCATCACTTATTATGATATCTGAAGCATGGACAAACAGTAGTATTTCCGACCGAAGTATATCACTTGATAACTATTTCCTGTATAGAAGCGATTGATTGAATGGACGAGGCGGAGGATGCCTTATTTACGCTCACTTTGGCCTAAACTCACTACTATGTGATATGCCTAAACTAAACAATCTGAAGGATTCGGTGTGGATTGTATTAAAGCTGTCGAATTCCGTTACCTTACTGCTTGGTTGTGTTTATCGTCAACCTAACGCATCAATAGATGAAATAGCAGTATTATCGAAGGTATTCACACTAGCACCATCCCTCTCATTCACAGGCAAGCTCATTTGTGGTGACTTCAATATGCCCGAAATTTCTTGGCTGCCAGTCAAAGCGCCGAGACATTATGAATCATTTATTGAATGTCTAGAGCTTGGACAATGGACTCAGTATGTCGATAGCCCTACCAGACATCAAAACATCTTAGACTTAGTCTTTACCAGTGGCCTCATCCCCAATACTTCGTATATTGGAAAAAAGTTCCCAGGTAGTGATCATAACATTGTCATATGCAGCCTTAATGTAAAAACCACAACCGGTAGAAGTAAAACCGTAACACTTTGTAGAAACTATCGCAAGGTTGATTGGAATAACTTCCACAATTACCTAAGAAGATCTGATTGGAGAACTTTCTTTACCTCAAACAATACCGACACATTTACCAATATCTTTTATCACAACATCAAAAGTATCATCAACAACATCGCACCTTTAGAATACTGTAAGCCTACGTTCTCCAAAGATCTCTATATACCGATCAGTGCAAGAAGACGTCTTCAAAGACATTGTACTCGACTCCACAACTTAAATCACTTTTCCTCTTTAGTAACGATGACAGAAATACTTGTCCGAACAGAGGCAATTAGTACACAAAAATCAGTCGCACAGGAAAAACATGCAGTTGAACTTAATAATAACCCCTCTGCACTCACCATACTCCTCCAAAGTAAACTTAAACGCTCTAAATCGAGAGGGAGTATATTCATCAAAGGCAAACAAGTATACGAAGATCCCAAACTTATCACAGAATTATTCAGTGAACATTTTTGTTTCTCACTAACTAACGAAAAACCATTTAATGATTCAGAACCAATCCCAGTAACTCCCTGTGAAATTACTAATGTAGAATTCAGTGTACAAAATATCTCTAAAGCAATCTGTACATTGAAACACTCCTACACTGATGGACCAGATGGTATTCCATCTAGCATGCTAAAACGTGGAGGTGATGATATGTGTGTTTTGCTTCTCAAAATATTCGCGATATCACTTTCTTCAGCGTGTTACCCTACTGCCTGGAAAACTACACATATCATTCCCAAAATTAAAACAGGACCTGAAGCAAACGTTGAAAATTACCGGCCTATAAACATAACTTCAGTGGTATCCAGAGTGATGGAAAAAGTAGTTAAGGCGGCTGTAGTCCAACATCTATTAACTAACAATCTCTTGTCGACCTCCCAGCATGGATTTCTTAGGTCCAGATCATACGATACATGCCTAGTAGACTACCTGAATGATATAACTCTGAAACGAGACAGCGGACTCCTTGTATCAGTCCTATTCCTAGACTTTAAGAAAGCCTTTGATAAGGTCCCACAAAAAAGGCTACTCATCAAACTAAAGTCCTTCGGAATACACAACCCACTGTACTCATGGTTTGCTTCGTTCTTAACAGAACGTAAACAGATGGTAAAGTACAATGACTGTCTCTCGTCCCCTAGATCAATCACCAGTGGAGTCATCCAGGGAAGTGTATTAGGTCCACTTTTGTTTCTTGCTACTCAAGACCCTATTATTTATTTATTTATTTGAACACATAAATATTGGTATAAGAGAGCGCCAATATATATGCGCCACACAAAACAATGAGAATTCGGAAAAAGAAAAAAAGTAAGGAGCGTAAAAAAATAGAGAACAATGACGAAGAGATTGGTGTAAGGTAGTGTGGTAGTAATGAGGGAACGGGAAGGTACAATCGGATGAAATCTCTCAGGTAAGGGAGACAACCACTTTTTATGAAGAAGGTAAAAGAAGGTTACAGCAGGATCGCCACTGGCTTCTATTCTGAGCCATATCTGATAACGTCTCTAGCCACTGTGTTGCACCATCTCTCGGACCTCAGCCAAGAAGTCAAGAAGGACCAACAGAAGCCAGTCCTTTGCATCTTTCTTTCATGCCACGACACCATGTCATGCACTGACCACCTCTCCGCTCCTTCCAACCAGTCCCAGAGTCGGCAAATAATGCACGACGTGGAATTCTCTGTGACGACATTCGTAGAACATGTCCAAGCCACCGAGGTCGGTGTTTCAAGATGGTAACATCAATTGCATTATCATATCTGTACCCGAACACACAATGCCGAACCTCTGCATTACTAATATGGTGTTGCCACTGGATGTCAGCGATCATTCGGAGACAGTGATGATCGAACACAGAGAGTCGTCTAACGTCCTCAACTGGGAGAGGCCAGGTTTCACAAGCATAGAGCAAAACTGCTTTCACCGACGCGTTGTAGATCCGGCCTTTTACAGCCAGACTAACATCACGAAGGCGCCAGAGATGGCCCAGATTGGCATAAGCCGCTCTGGCTCTCACTATTCGTGCATTGATCTCATCACTCACACCCCCACCAGCACTTATACAGCTACCCAGATACACGAACTTCTCGACTACTTCTATCTGCTCACCGTCCAGGGTGAGTACAGGATTAGAATCCTGCCAGTCTTGTAGAAGTACTTTGCACTTCGAAGGTGCAAAGCACATACCATACCTACGGACACTGATTGCCAACTGATTAAGTGCGGATTGCGTGCCTTGGGCATTATCGCATAGTAAGACAATATCGTCCGCGTACTTAAGGTCGAGAAGTCTTTCTCCAGGCAACAGATCCACACCACCATTACTTACATTCATCAGAGCTGTTTCCAGAATGTCATCGATGGAAAAGTTGAAGAGGAATGGTGAGATTGGGCAACCCTGCCTAACCCCACTGCTCGAATGGAACAATGGAGAGAGGTGGTTGTATGCCCTCACTCTGCCTGAGGTGTTTGTATATAGGGATTTTAGGATGTTAATAAACTTCTCAGGCACACCCTTCTTCAATAGACAATCCCAGAGAACAGCCCTATCCAACGAGTCGAAGGCAGCCCTGATGTCAAGAAACACTACGATTGTTGGCCTCTGACAAGTATGACGGTGTTCTAACATTTGGCGGAGGGTGAAGATATGATCAATACATCCTCGACTAGAACGAAAACCAGCCTTCTCCTCGCGAGTCAATCTTCCCCGGGTTGTGAACAACCTACGAAGTATGACGGAAGCCAATAGCTTGGACGCAATCGGAAGTAGACTTATCCCCCGATAGTTGTTACAGGGACGACATGAATCCTTTTTAAAGATAGGGACAACTATCGACTCATTCCATGATGATGGTACACTCTCTAACACCCAAACCTTTGTAAACAACGTCGTCAGTTCCTTAGTCAGAAAGTCACCATCTTTAAAAAGAGCTGGAGATAAGTCATCTGGGCCAGGTGATTTGTAGCGTTTGAAGAGTTGGAGTTCCTTGCGGACTTCCGCCTCATTCGGTGGATCAGTCGTCAACGGCTATGGAAGACAGGACAGTCCGACCGATGTTGCCGGAGCAGCAGGCCAGTTGAACTGCCCTTCGAAGAATTCTGCCCATCGTCCAAGACGTCGATGGATGTTAGTAATTGGCATCCCGTCATCCTCACAGATTGTTTAGCTCACGCCAGACTT